CTGAGGAAAATTCAACAATATCCAAGGCTTCTTTTCAATTAACCTCGAATACTAGGGGGCATCACCCTCGGGGGTTATATTTTGAGAAAAATACTTCATGTCACAGGGTCTTGATAGGGAAACCTTGTAATGGGCCAAACGGTCGAATGAATCGTGTCCATATAGATTAGTCGAGCCCCTATGGAAAAACATGTATGCATGTATGAATTATTCAAAGAAGCATTCTTTCTATATCAAACACTTTGTGTCTCAAAGAAAATTTTCTACTATATGAGCTCCACACTTATGATTTTGTGAGAAATGGCTCAAGGGCCAAGTGCAAATATACCTCCAATACTTGGGGACTGTCATCAACAGTCAACATATTTGAGTTATCTAAACTCGAATTCATAAGACCTCAAAGAGGCACCCCTCGATCTATAGGCCAAGGCCATCTTTCTCGGAGACTAACACCTTGAACAAGTTCGAAGTGTTATTGGGAAATAAGCCCAAGAGGCATACCCAAAGGCTACGGCCAAATTAATGTGGCTCGAAGATGTCCGAACCCCGCAATCAAAATAGGTCTTCGAGTTCTTCGAAAACCCGGTTAAAAAGGATACCCTCGGCAAATAATAAAAGGGCTTCGATAAAATCAGACTTCGAAAAACCTTAAGAGGTATCAAAATTATCTTAACACAAACGTGCTAAGGCGCAAAAAGTAGAAGGGTTTCGATTGACATCGAACCCTCAGAAAACTCAATGGGTAAAAAATGCATGCTAAGGCATAGAGAAATTTTCACTAAGTATTTTAAAGCCAAAATAGAGGAATAGTAGCCATCTTTTAGAGGCCATAACGGCCTGATCCAAAAGAGCCTAAGGGCCAATACACTTAGAGTTCGAGATCTTGTTCTTTCTTAATCCAAAGCCAAGGGTTCGATTATCCCAAGACCAAATAAACAATAACTTGATTATGGTTCGGGGACTCACCGTTATCCGACACAAACCCTTAAGGGTCTATGCCTCAAAGTTCAAACCTTATTCGAACTCGACCATGGTAACATCAAGGAAGCCACTCGAGACAAAGTCTCGAATACACCGTTCAAAGCATAAGATTATGCTAAAATTTTGCAAGGCAAAGTTCGAGTAGGCATTTAAGAGAAAGTTTCATTTATATATTTGAAAAAAAGATATGTACAAGATATCGATAGATGTCTTACAAAAAGAAAAAGAAAAAATCCTAACTATGCACGGGGCTAGTTTCTTCCTCGGGAGCATCTTCTCCTTCAGGCCCCTCTCATTGTTAGACCCGCCTTGGCTGCCTTCATCATTATCGTCGGAGGAGGAGATGAGAAATCTGGCATCAGCTTCAAGTGCCTTAGCTTGAGCTATCTCTTCAGAGAGGTCGTAACCTCGAGCGTGGATTTCCTCGAGGGTCTCCCTCCGGGATTGGCACATAGCCAAATCATTGCTTCGTCGCTTTCAGTCAGAGGCCTCCCTTAGCTACGTTTGAGCAGCCTCAGCATCGGCCAAGTATACAACAATGGTTTTTTCAGCCGCGATCTTCGTCTCCCCGACCTCTGCCTTGGCCTCAGCAAGCTTGACCTCGAGCACGTTGATCCTTTTGGCCTGGGCTAAATTTTTCTCTTTAGCTCCCCGAAGTAGGGCCTCGGCCAATGCCAGTTTGGCCAAAGCAGCCTCTTTCTCCGCAGCAAGGCTGTCCATGTTCTCCTTCCATCGATCACAGTCAGTTTTGATTTGATCGACTTCCCCTCGAAGCAGCTCGATCCTTTCCAGTTTTTCCTGTAATTGAGATACTAAAGTGTTAGCCTCCACAATTGGGTCGAGTAGACCGTACTCTTTCAAAATGATAGTTACTTGTTTGTCTAGCTCGGCCTCATGCTTACAAGCCTTATCCAAGTGTGCCCGAAGGTCCCTGAGCTCCTCCTCCTTTTGACTGTAAAAGAGTTCCAAAGCGTTCCTCTCCTCTGAGGTCTTCTGGAGCTCGACCTCACATTGGCTCAGGTCGGCCCTAAACTTGGTGAAAGCCTACATAGAAAGAAAGATACAAGTTAGGGTAAAGGGAGAAGAAGGAAAAGAAAATTGCAACGACAGGAATTAATGCTTACTCGAGATAAAAGGCGTTGAGACTCTTCGAAAAGGGTAGATGCGTCGTTGAGATCGGCGGCGTCATCAACCCCGGTAAAGCAATCCCGGAAGGGATCTTCTTCATTGGGGACTCCGCCTAAGTCAGGCATTTGCAGAGCCCGAGCCTCCCTTATGGCCTCCTCAGAATAAGCCAGTAGAGAGAGAGAGTGACCTATTGTCATGGCCCTGAGCAAATCACTCGGGGTGCTCTATTCATCCCTGGGAATCTCGAAACCTGCCCCCTCCGATGTGCTTGTCGATAGTCGAGGAACAATCTCGACCTCAGGCGATTTAGGGGTTTTTCCCACATCTTTATTCGAAGCCTCCTCATCACGAGGCAGGGTCTCCGGCTCGGAGGTCTTGGCAGCTTCACCGGCTTCCTAGCTCAAACCACCAGCGCCGAGTCTTCACCCTTGTCTTCTTATTCTTCATCCAGCTGGTGGACCGATTCTATATCCACAGGAATGAGATTTCTCCTGCGTCTTCGAGCTCGAGCCTTTTTATCTTAGGGGTCCTCGGGCTTCGAGACCATTTTCCTCTTATTATCTTTCTTCGATTTCGAAATCGGAGACGCGATCTCTTCCTCAGGCGGGGCCGGCCTCATTTCAGAGATATCTCCAATGCCTGCATGAAGGAAAATCAAGTATGAGTAAAGAGGCATCTCCGATAAAGAGGAAAGCATCAAAATCTTGCAAGATGAACTTACCATGATGTTTGGCTTCCCATCTGCCCCTCGCCAAGTCATGCCAGCGGCGCTCGGCATAAGAGGAGGTCAAGGCTAGTTTCTGAACCCAGTCTTCGAGGTCGGTGACTGCATGAGGCATCCAAGCAACCGCTGTGAAATAAATGAAGGCATCACATAATGCAAAAACGGAGTACGAAGACTAATGGGTAAAAACTTCACTTACGTTCGGGGTTCCACTTCTCTGGGAACGGCATTTTCTCCTCTGGGATGATGTCGCAGGTCCTCACTCGCATGAATCGGCAAATCCAACCCTGATATTTATCTTCGTCATTGCTAGCAAAAAAGACCTTGGTCGACCAGTGTTGGAGCTTGATCAACCCTCGGAAAAGCTGAGGTCGATATAATCGAATGAGATGGTTGAGGGTGAACTCCAACCCCTCGGCCTTGCTGGAAAAAAAATAGAGCATGATCACTATGCGCCAGACCGAGGGGTGAATATGGCCGAGGGTGACCTATTACCTCTTGCAGAAATCAATGATGACTGGATTGATGGGACCCAGTGTGAAAGGGTAAGTGTAGACACTTAGGAACCCCTCCACATAAGTGGTGATACTCTCCTCGGGAGCGGGGATCTGTACCACGACCTCGTACCCCCAACCACAATCCCTCTTTATAGCCTCGAGGTGTTTCTCCGTTATCGAGCAAATATATCTCGACACGTGCTCACATCGGCCGGGGTTGGATGGGAAATTCTTGATTTTGAAATCGTTCTTTGTAACACAAGGGCCGGGAAAAATCTCGTGAAGGGTCGACATTTTATCGTCGGCCGGTCGGGAATAAGAGGAGGAAGCTTTCTCCTTTTGAGGAACAATTTTGGAGGTTTTCGCCATTGGTTCAGGTTGGAGGAAGCGGAAAGAAGTGGAGTCTGATATTTTTTTGTGCTAAAAGGGGTGGATCAACAGGTAGTGAAAGAGAAGAGATGAAGAAAGGAAGAGATCAAGAAAATTTGAAGGTGGAAGCAAAGTCTTTGATTCAAATAGAAACCCTGTATTTAAGGCGCACGGTGACGGTTCGGCAGCGCTAGTGGCCGACCGCTACTGGCAAACATTTAATGTTTTGGGGAAACGAACTGATGGGACGTTTCGGTCACCCCGAGAGCTTACGTCATGGGAATGACATCATCATCATGGCCTCCAGAAAATCGAGGTTCAAGTCGTTTCTTGTCATTTTATTCTAAAAAACGAGGGGACTATCTGTATACGGTGGAAATCGGTGCTACCCGATTTCGCTCTTCGATGGAAAAAGTGATACCACGTCGGGAGGCCAGGACGCCGAGCTCGGGGTCAAAGCTCCTTTCCAATATTGAGGTCGAGGTCGATATCATTTGCCGAGGTCGGAAGAAGGCCTACTTCGAGATAATACCGTTATGATTTAGTAACAGAAAGAGCGAGATACCCGCAACGGCCCGAAGATCACGACGTAAATTCGGAACGGATTGTTCCTTGGCGATTAGACAGCTGTCCAATATGATTTCCTACTGTAATTAGAAGTGTATCTTATTTAGGACTCGCCTATTATATAAAGGGGAGCTCATTCATTTGTAACGGATGGTTCATTGATAAGAAATATATGTTCATCACCTTTTTTGCTTATTGTTCATCAGAGTCGCCTTATAATTCGTTGTTCTTACTATCCCACCTCGAGACTGTCATAGGTCGAGGTCGAGATTTAGCTTGTGCACTGATTTGACTTATTTCATTCTCCAACTTATCTATTTAATTCTTTGTTTGTCAATAAGTATTGGATTAAATCACATATCTTTAAAACCACTATATAAGATTGTTACTCGAATTTTAGGGTAAACAGACACTACCATTCAAGCCCTACTGCTTTCAATAGTATGATAGATGGATGAAAAACTTAATCGAACAATAGTTCAAAAATTTATACAACGTTTTGTAATATATGGACCTTACGTGATTTTCTATAAAAGAGTACAACACATGTTAAATTTATTTTAGACTTGGAAGAACATTATTTCGCCATTCAATAACATCACGAACCTTATAATTTAATCCTTACATGTAATCGACTCATCAATTGAAAAAGATTATAAAAAAGGGTAGGCCAGTGCACGAAGCATCCTGACACCTCAGGGGAATTTCATATAGGCAGACACAAGCATCATGACTAATTTCACAACTCAATCCCGTGACCTATTGATCACATGGAGATAATGTTCCTGTTGCTCAAGGCTCTCGTTCACTTTAAAGATTATACACGAAAAATGACAAAGATAATACGTCAATATAAGACAAAAAATGACTAGTTAAGTGACCACTCTTGCAGCAGTCGACTCGCAACTTGAAGTTGTAAATTTACACTCTCAGCTTCTATATTTTATTTCTTCAAGTATCTTATTACAACTATATACATATAAGAAATGACGATCCAACAACATATCTGGTACACCTGATCTGGTTATGTAGTTGCTGCCATTAGCCGCATTCTCCACAGACTTCACAACAAAAACTAAAACACTCAAAACAAGCAAGTGCTGTACAAAGTTGTGCTAAAGTAACAGCACATTGATCGTTAACCCGAGAACAGAACTGTATGAAACACATGCAACAACAACAGTCACATAGTTTGCCGCATAAGCTTGAAGCAGCTGCAAATACCATTTCTGAAGTTTCATGCAATTTGGGTTCTGCTGCTTCCACAGGAAGATTGTTCATTGTAGCCTTCAAGTTGCCGAAACCAAAACCTAGCGCTCGAAGGTATATGATTTTCTTGACATTCAAGTCAGAGGTCTTCTGCATATCATGAAAAGTTCAGGAACAAATCAGCATTTGAAGGCTAAAGAATTGGGGGAAGATCTAGGGGTCGGATGTCTGTTTCGCACTTATCACTATATCTCCTCGATCGAGCAAACTAGGAGTATTGTATTATAGATGTTTACTCCATAAATCTAATCTCTACCACAAAATTGTGGTCTCATCAATTAAAGCGAGAGGCTTAATTTTCATTAACAGATTCCTTAAGTAACTTAATGCATTATTGCAGTTTAGAAGATTTTGATAATCATGGACATACAAAAAACACAAGAAAGCTAGTTTACATGTACAGAAGTATATGTCCAGTTATAATTACCTTATACTGGTCAAAATGATATACGAATCAGATCATTTTCAAATCTTAAAGAGTTTTAATAAAGGCGTCGCAATAAAACTCGTGGCCTAAAGCCAAATTTTAATAAGGGGCCATAATATTTTATTTTTTTTTGTCTATAGTATAGTTATCTTATAAAATATAATATTAATATTCACATTGGTAAGAAAATTCAAATTAATAAGATGTTAGCCACTTATTTATAATTCGTTACTTTGAATTTTATTGTAAAAAATGTTATTTATCAATATGAAGATTTGAGTATCTTAATTCAAAGTTCTAAAATATTTCTATTGTTAAAAAACAGATAGTCTTTCTTTCCATTTTTATAAGAAATTTGTATTTTCTTTTTCGTTTTTCTATAAACTTCAATATTGTCTAAGTGAAAATAAGATAGTAAATCCACAATTAAATATATTTTTGGGGCCCCAAAATTTAGGGGGTCTAAAGCAAATGCTTTACTAGCCTACTCTTGAGCCACCCCTGAGCTTTAAATCAAACAAAAGTCAAATTAGACCTTGACAGACCGGTCAAACCAAAGCATACCTCATCTGCTACCTCTAATTTAGAGGTCTGCCTCTCCTTTTTATTTTCAACCAAAATCAAGTTGGTATACTCCGAAGGCACTCCTGTTTGCAAGCTCATTTTCACAACCTAGAAGCAGAAATATAGTTTAAGTGAGCATAATACCATAAAGAAAAAGTAATAGTGATTTTCACACAAAGATGTTGCATAAATAGGATCAAAAGCACCAAAAGAATAAAGAAATACGCACGAGCTGCTAAGGATTGACCTATAGGTCCAAAACACGAATATTAAGTTCTTAAAAGTTGCAAGGATTTGCAGTGAACATGTGATCATTTATCAAACTTATTTATATGCAACAGTATAAGAACTCAAGATTCATTAGACAGACCTTCTCCTCCAGTTGCTTGCTTCCGGAACACCAGGCATTGGCAGTTAGTATTTTGATTTGTCTCCTTGCAAAAACCTGTGTAAAGAAACACGCATAAGTTCAAACTTTAAATGGTGGAAGATTGCATCTTTCTGCAGTTCCAGCAAGGTTCATGTAAGCATGCAGACACAACAAAAATACAAATGTAATATCTGTTCGATTAAATATAGGGAATAAAAAGCTAGATGGTTTATAGAACAAGCCTGTTCTCATAGAGAATGCATGAAAGAACGAAATCCAGGAAAAGCTAAACTACCACATATACAAATTACTTTTTCTTATGAGTTCCTCCTCTTCATAGGTAAAGCAAATTAGCATTTACAGTAAGGAATTCAAGACGGAAGACCTTACCCTTTCCAAAGGAAAATCCTTTGCTTTTTGTACTTTGACATCGACCACGAAATTGCTCGAATCTGCTAAAGTGCCGCTGACTTTAACAGAGTCAGGACAGTTCCCGAATAATCTGCCAGATACAATCAGTGGTCTTGAAGACAACAGGTCTGGAAGATAACATGGATATAGCTGCAAAAAGGACAGTGGTTAGAACTGTCAGATAGGTGGCAGAGTAAATAGAAATAAGGGCACTTATGATGCCGCTGATTAAGTTAAATTTCCTACAAGAACATTAACCAAAAAGAACTAATGATCCTTTTTTATTTTTTTCTTTGGTGGTGGTTTGGGATTT